AAGACAACATGGGTTGTTTCCAGCAAGATAACTCTTGCACTGCCAAAGCTTTGCAAGTGATATAACATGTATAATTGCTTCAGTTCCTGAGAATGAACTTCAAAGAATGTCAGAGAACTTGTAAACGTATTTCAGGCCATGCTTGAAGGCAGGAGGAGGTCACTTCAGTAGTTCTGATAACATTTGGTAAATTTATGTCACCTTTTTACAGTAATTAATTCTGAAGTATTATGGAATCTAGATTAATACGAGANAAAATGCTTCCACTTATATTGTCAGACTACCAGAAAATATAAACTAAAAAGTACACAATTTACTGGTCTGTGTCTGTTTTCAAATAGTACAGATTTCCACTGTTTTAAATTTGGTAACTATAACCTCAGAGTTTAACATTATCACGATTATAATTTGAAAAGTTTAAAAATGGATCGTACAGAATTTGCAGGGACATTTATGATCTGTCTGCATACAGAATTTCACATCCCTGCTTCATTGACAACTGCCATCAAACTGAAGGCTAAATATAGTTGTTGCACCATGTTGTTGATGTTCTACAGAAAAGTATCCTACTAGAAGTTACATAGTCATTAGTGGTCTGTTGAAATACCAGATGTTGTCACTCCCACCTCAGATATTTGCACGGTAAATATAGTGGTGCTGTTGATGATGGGATGTTAAAAGAGAACAAAAATGGGATGGCCTATAAGGTCATAATGGACATACCACGTTTCATGAAAATCTGTCATGTGGATGAAATATCATTAGGAAAGTGTTAGAAGGAGGGGTCATGGACACAGGACATAATAATACTATATACTATCTTTCTGTATAAAGTAGGAAAATGCTGAGAGGTACTCAAATGGTGCAAATGGAATACTGGGAATGTATACTGGAACCATATTTCCTTTCAGATTCCTTGAACATTAAAGACTTTCAGCTCCCCCATGGACCTTTCACACAGACTCTGCATCAGATGAGCGGTCCTGAACTCCATGAATGTATTTGCAGATATGAATTGAAGGTATGGCATGCAGATGTCACTGTCCTATCTCCTGTGGTGAAGTGTTTGTAGGGTAGTGGTTTAGCATTCCTGCTTCATGCTGTGGAGGACCCTGGTTTGAATATCATGTTAGAGAATATACATGGATCAGATAAAAAGTAGTGGGTACACCTCTATAGTTCAGAAATGACTTTATTACCTGAGGTAAACACATTTACATTCCTTCAATATAATTGCCTCCCATGTGTACCACCTTCTGCAAAATTTGTGGAAGGCGTCATACACCAACAGTGCATCCACTTCTGTTGGTGTCCATCAGTGACCGCCCTACAGCATGAATAATCTCCTATCTTGTGTTGTAATGTGTCCCTTGGCAGTGGTTCTTTCATTATGGCAAAGAGATCATAATCGCATGGACTCGTATCGGGTGAGTATGGCGGATGTTGCAGTATCTCCCATCGCCAGCGGCAAAGGAGATCCTTGACAGCGTCAGCAGTATGAGCCCTTGCATTGTCATGAAGGATGATGGGGTTCGTTGCCAGCAAGTGTCGTCACTTTCTCCTGAGTGCTGGACGAATGTGATTATGCAAGAAATTGCAATAGTAGGCAGTGTTTACTGTCTGTCGTTGAGGTACAGTGTCGTGCAGTATCACTCCATCGATGTCATATGCCACAGTGAACATCGCCTTCACATTACTCTGTGTAGGGCGCACTTTCTTTGGACGAGGAGAGCCAGGATGCTTCCATTCATTTGATTGTCACTTCAATTGTGGTTCGTATGAGCGAGCCCAGTTTCGTCCAGAGTGACGATCCTTCCAAGGGAGTCGTCACCTTCCCTCTGGTACCAGTCCAGCAAGTCCTGTGCAATTGCATCACATTGCCATTGTTGCGCCTCGAACATTGTATGCGGTACCCAACATGCTGCAATTTTGCGGTATCCAAGAATATCGTGCAGAATTTGGAGCACAGTTTTGTGACATATGCCTACCTTAGCAGCTAACTCCTGCGCAGCCCATTGACGATCGACATCCAGCAAAGAAGCAAGAAGCTGAATTGTGTGGTTGTCAGCATGGGGTCATCCTGAATGATGGCTGTCCTGAATGGCATCCCTCCCTTCACAGAACAATTTCATCCATCATTCCACTCTTCAATATGGCAAAGCAGCATCACCACATGCTTCTCACAGTCCCTGATAACAGTTTTGTGCACTACGACCTCGTGCAACTTCAATTTTTATCCAGGAGCATTGTTCATATTTTGTAAACATGTTGTTAGGATGCTTGAACTGGGCTCCTGCACTTCACATGTTACTGACTAGACATGAGGTTTGGGTTGGTAATTTGGTTTATTCAACACTTTTAACATGTAAATACAATTAATTCTAACAGCCTCACTGATACACAATTTACAAATCATGGCAGCACACACTGAGCCTCAGCCTCTTATAGTCTTCACTGTCATTGCTTTGTGGCTGCTCCCAGAGTCAGAGTCAGAGTTACTTTACAACTGGTGGTTTACCACCAATCAGTTCATCTTGGTGCCAAGCTCCTTGAGGCTCATGACCAGAGATTCTTTTTTCTGTCTGAACGCTTTCAGTTACAGTCCTTATGTAAGTTCCTCTCTGATGAGAAAATGAGTGAGTCTCTTATGAAAATGTACTATTATTATTTACTGCAATCGGGTGTACACCTGGTGGAAGTAGACCTTACACTGACACAGACAAGGGAGTTAAGACTATACAAAACAGAGTACACACAGTGCACATCAAAATGTATACATTAGCTAGGAGTACACACCTTACCTGGACACACACATAATAATCCCAGTGCATTTGAATGTCCTCAGTAATTGCAATACTATTAGAGTATCCTCAATATTTATAAAGTGACACAAGGGCATGTGATACTTTATCCTCATCTTCACTATAACTCAGCTCACTTCATTTATTTTCATTCAGTCCCCACTTAAAACCTCTTTGCTTGTAACTGTTTCTCTGATCCTCTTTCTAAATATGTTTAATTTACAGAGAAGAGATGCTAGTTTGCCTGCAGGTAAACAGTTCCAATCTTTTGTGGTCCTATTTACAAAGGAATATTTGCCAACATCTGTTCTTTGTTTCCTACTCCTAACTTTCCAACTATGATCATCCCTATTCAGGTAGCGTAGTTTAAGCAGGCTATACCCTATCGCTTTCCAAGCCAGTCTCCTAGTGGATGCCTTGTAAAGGATGCCCAATCTGACTATCATTCTACACTGTGCCAAAGTTTTCCAACCCAGTTCATTTGTATGATTTGCAAATTTAGCCGCTCTTCTTTGTACAGGGTGGGGCACAGAAACTTCCTTTTTTTAAGGCGAATAAAAGAAAAATTATTGCTGATAGACAACATTTATGTTTAGCTAATGAAAGAACATACTTTAAAGTTTTAAATCATGTAGGTTTAAACAAAATATCTTGAAGGTGGTGGCCACCGTTCTCTATGCACTGATGCAACCGTTTTCTGAAGTACCCCTCTGCACGTTCCAACATGTGCACTGAAATTTGGGCTGCTTCCTGCAGAAAAACATTCTTCAGCTGAAGCAGGTTTGTGTGGCGATGTTTAAAAACTTCTGCCTTGAGGTATCCCCCCCATAAAGAAAATCACAGGGCGTTAGATCAGGTGAGTTCACTGCCCACGGGATGTCACCTCGAAGTGAGATGAGCCATCTGGGGAACTTTGCCCTCAAAACTGTCATCGAAGTTCGGGGCGTGTGGGCCATGGCACCATCCCGTTGGAACCAGACATTTCCTAGATGCATTTCTTAAAGAGCTGGTTCAAAAAAGTTTTTAATCATGTCCACATAATGCTGTGAATTGACAGTAACTACTTGATTGTCTTCTTCAAAAAAATAAGGGCCAAAAACTCCAACTCTTGACAACACACACCATACTGTCACCTTATCACTGTGAAGTGGCCTCTCATGGAGCTCTCTGGGATTGTTACCACTCCAATAGCGCATATTTTGCTTGTTGACTTATCCAGATAGGTGAAAATGTGCCTCATCACTAAAGAAAACAAGTGCATCCAGGAGTAAAGTTTCCAGTAACGTTTCGCACCCCGTTATTTGGTTCTGGAAATCATGTCGTGATATTTCTTGCACAACAACCATCTTATAGGGATGGAAATGAAGATGTTCGTGAAGAATTTGGTGCATTGAACGATTGGATATGTCTAGGGCGACTGCATGTTTGCGAGCAGAGCGTCTTGGAGATCTCAAAATCGGCTGTCAAACTGCCTCCACATTTTCTGGTGTTGTAACGGTCCGTTGTCGTCCTGATGATTTTTTCACCACACTCCCGGTTCTCCTAAAGTTCTCTACCCACAAAACAATCGATTTCCGGCCGGGAACCAGACCTCTGGGCTTAATTCTGAAGTGAGTACGGAACACACGCTGCACCGCCACGTAGGAGTGGTTGTTCGAAAAATAGACTTCGACAGCAAACGCATGCTGCTTACTCGTCCACCTCATGTTTCCTACTGAGGGGTATTAGACAGAAACTTCTGCGACTGCTGCATTCGCCGAGCCTATCCCCACTTTTCTGTGACCTCCCCTCCCTTCACAATGCGTCTTCCCAAAAAGGAAGTTTCTGCACCCCACCCTGTACCTGTTTTAAAGTGCTTACCTGCCCTTCTCTGTGCAGGTCCCAAATACCGCACCATATTCACGTATCATTCTCATTAGTTACGTGTAAGTTAGACATTTCGAGTTATTATTTCCCTGTTTGAGTATACACATTGTTAAAAGAAGGGCCTTTCATGCTTTTTATTGTATAGCTTACGTTAACTGCCCAGCTTAGATCTCTGCACATGATTATTCCTAGGTACTTAAAGCTATTTGACATTAGAATTAATTGATCCCCAAAGTAATACCTCAGTCAATCCTTCACCCTAGCTCTCATGAACCTTACCGCTTTACTCTTATCTGGATTTATCTTAATTTAATTTTCTACCACCCATTCCCCAAAAATATTCAGATCTGTCTGCAGCTTGCCCGTATCACTACTATCCACTATATTCCTGTATATCCTGCAGATAGCCGTATGTTTGAGTCAGTGTCCTGCAGAATATCATTGACATAAACTAGGAATAGTAGCGAACCAAATATGCTTCTTTGTGGCACTCCTGACATTACTGTGACTTCATCGGTCTACTCGAATTCTCTGTGAACATCCTAAGAGAAATTCCTTTATCCATACAACTGCCCTCAAGTCCACTCTGGTTTCCACTATTTTTGTTAATTAACCTATCATGTGGGACTAAATTGAAGGCCTTTGAAAAATCTATTATAATCATGTCTGTCCTGGCCTCCTCGTCCAGGGAATCAGCAATATATTGACAGACTCTGACTAACTGACTTTCATACAGATACCCTGATGTGAAGCCATGTTGGCCCTCATATAACCACTCACTCCTTTCCCAAATTTGCCTTAGATACCCTGCTGTAACATGCTCCATTCGTTTGCAAACCACTGATGTTAAACTGACCAGTCTGTAGTTTCCACTTACTGATCGATCTACTCCTTTGTCAATCAGGACCACTATAGCCTTTTTCCAGTCCCCTGGGATAGATTATCTTGCAAGGTATAGAATCATGGCTTCCCTGCGCAACTTTACAATTTTCCCAGGAATGTGATCTGGTCTGACAGATTTCTTTCTCCTGATTGCTGATAATCACTTCCTTATAATGTTTGTACTAATATTGAAGGGTTTAGTTGAATCTGTTGATTGGATTTGCAGATCATTTCTTTCGCAGCTGACTACAGATGCATAATAAGAATTTAAGGAATTAGCCTTTCCTTTTCTGTCTGTAATGAGATCATCATTATAGTCTTTTATTGCCAGAATATGTTCTCTGTTTCCTTTAGATCTTTTAACATATTTGAAGGACTCAGCCAATCATTTACCTTCATTTTGTAGGACCAAACATAAGAAAGTCTCCTGAGCCTTTTTGGTACCAGTAACTCCTTAGGTAAACGTTCAGCTCCTCTTGGTAATGCTCTCCAAATTTCCTCTTATTGTACACCCTCCTCACCTTTGCCTTTAACCATTTAACTTCTCTCTGGATCCAAATTTTTATGCTTGACCTTTGTCAAGTGTATATATCACATGTATAGCATGTTATTGAAAATTCTTCCTTTTGCACTGTATACAAGTCCTCTGTTGGTACAGGCTTTGGAAAGAAGATGATGCCTAAATATTGTGACATGTATACCCATTGCCAGGCAGCGACTCTGTAAACACATTCCTGTGCAAGCAAGCTCACGCAACAGTAGAACATCTGTTGCTAGGCAACAGTTGCTCATCTTTAATAGTAGTATTAAAGATGAGCAGCGACACACACACAGGGAGCCTGCACAGAATAATACATGAACGGTGCTGGAAACAAGAAATAGCCGCTGCAGCACATGTAGACACAGAGGAGGTGTCCCTGGTATTTAAAACTTTAAATTTTAGAAATTAAATTTTAAACTGGAATTCTGAAATCAAATTGACGAGCGTGTGTGGGCAAGATTTTAAACAAAACTGACAGGCTGATGTTTTAGATTTTGGAATGTGTGCAGTGTGACAGCTACGTAGTGAAAAATACACCTGTTGATGGCCAATTACAGCCAAAACATGTAGTGCAGAGAAAGAAAAAGACAAAGATCTACAACCAAATAAATTGTTGCATTCACGACGTTATTTGTATTATCAGTTAATTTATATAGGAAGTCAGGTTGTGTCAAAGGCTTTTTCAATATCCAAGAATACAGCAGTCATATACATGTTTTTGTTGAAATTTAAGGTGACATCTGTAAGCCTCATACATTGAAGTGTTATGGTGTGATAGAAACGGAAACCAAACTAGCTGGCTTTAAGCTGGCCTCTCTCTTCAGTGTGCCTTTGAACAATTTTCAGAATAACTTTCTCTAATAGCATGCCTCTTGTGGACAAGAGGTTAAGCAGATGTAAATTTTGAGGGAATTTTGGGTCCTTACTGGCTTTTGGTAATGTAGCTCTTGCTTCCTTCCAAGGCTTTGAAAAATGGGACAGCTGTAGGCAGTCATTAAATAAATGTGTCAGGTGTACCAGTTGTCTTCTTGGAAGATGCCTGAGGCATTCGTTTGGAATACCATCAAGTCCATAAGTGTTTCTCAATTTCAATGGATTTATTAATTTATGTATGTCACAGGTTCGTACTTTTACCAAGGAGGTGTCATCTATAGATGCTAGCAGAGCTGGACTCTGGTCTCCCCCTGTCACTCATGATTTGCATCATACAGATCATGGGATGTGAACTGGTTTACTAAACAATTTACAGTAGTGTTCACTTTCTCATTGAGGTCATATGTGATTCCTAAAGGGCCATGAACAGTGGTTGGTGCTGGATCCCATGCTACTTGCACAGTTTCCTTAACCCTCCTTTTAGTTAATTCATTCATTCATTTATTTTACATTCCATAGATCCACAGTATAACAGGTAGGATATGGAACACGTCAAGTGGTACATATATAAAAGACAAATAAGCCAAAAAATAGAATAAAATAAAATGATGACAAATATAAAAAGTCCTATTACTGTTGAAACTTGGTGACAATAAACATAATTTATTAATATATATGGACAAATACTGTCTTAAGTGCAACAATTTTATTGTAGTTTTTACTTCTTTTTCCTCCTCCACACTACATGTTTCGGCCCTAAATGGCCATCATCAGGTGTGTATCACTCACGTAACTGTTACACTGCTTGTTAAAATTGTAAAAATCCCAGTCTTTCTAATTGTATAAAATCTTTGTTAATCTACACGCGTCGATTTGATTTTTAAATTAGCACTTTTTAAACCTTAATTCAAGTTAAAATGTNTATATAATGTGGCTCATGTTCAGATTTTCTGTTAAGATCTCCTGGCAAACTCTGTATCTGATCCCAATGGTGTCTGCTAGTTCATGGTTTGTTTGTCGATGGTCTTCATGGATGAGTTATCACATTTTGTCAACATTTTCTGTCATTTTGCTGATGCTTGGTCACTTTGAACATTTGCCACCTTCAACTGACAGTCAGCCGGCCTTGTAACATGAATGCCATTCAAAAACCACTCTCTAGCTTAAAGAATGTTCTCCAAAAGCCTCAGGAAGCATTTCAAGAGTTTTGGTAGCGGATTTACTATGCTTCACACAGAACTTCAGGCAGACACATTGCTCAAATTTGCCATCCATGGCAGGCAAAGTATGAAGTAAAAAAGCATTCATGTAAAAACAGTACATGTTTATAGTGCTATGTCATGTGGCAGACTGATGCAATAGGTTTGCAGAAGTGTGACCTTGGGCTCCTCTCTCTTCACTGAGACAGTTACAACAATAACAGTCCGAGAACTTTCTGATAGCACCTCATATAAATTCTTAAGTCTCATATTTTAATAAAATTTTGATTTCCATAATTTTTTTCATTAATTATTTAGCTTGTTCTAAATGATGATGGCAATACTGTGTGTCCCTGTTAGTCCTCCCCCATTTCACTCCATCACCACACATGCATCACCGGCTAGAATACAGTTTTGACAATAAGAAGAGAAAGAAAATTTCATTACATGAGTTCAGAGTTTCTGATGTGACTTCTGTTGTGTGGTGTTACACGTGAATAAACCTGTCCATTACATGTCCAAGGAACTACAGGTACCACATATGATGATGCATCTGTTTGCATACAAAGTACACATTGTCCTTGAGTTGAAGCCAGATGGTAAGTCATATCTACATAACTGCACTATGCACATTCTGCATTAGAACAATCTGAATCCTGGCTTTCTTCTAAGTGTCTTGTTTTCTGATGGGGCTCAGAAAATCCTTACAGCTTCCAAGAGTTTACTAGGATAGCTCTAAAATAAACATTCAGTGTGTGCCTTAATGAAGGACAGGTTTATTGGACCTCATTTTCTTGCTTTCATACTAAAATCCTCTTTTGTAGTTACCTGGCTTGGTTTTATTTGCTTACCGACTCTTGCAGTTGCCTCAAAACACGTTATATTGTATGTGCAGAAAATGTCTGGCAATTTTTATTGAATTTTAAATTTTGAATTGGAACAGTTGCCACAGTCGTTGTATAAGAATTAACTTCTTTGTAGTTATCTCAAGTTTTGGCATACCTTAATGTTGAATGTTATACATGATTGATTAGTCTCTGGCCTTTCCCATGTCCTTCCCAATTCATAATTTACAGTTGAAATACCATTGCTATGCAGTGTAACAACTGCGAAATCGTTAAACTAGGAAACGAACAAACTTGGAGTATTGTAATAGGATTTTGCTTTTCAAGTTTTGGAATTTATTCATTCTGTAGCTCCATCACTTTCTAAAAACGGTCCAGAAGACAAGTTTAACAAGCTCATGCAAGTTCTGGTACTATCAGCTCTTGATGAAGGATTCAGATCACCTGTGCTGCAGTCTTGTTTCTCACGTTGCATTGGAGTGCTATTAAATGCCATTCCAGAAAATCAGTGGAATGAAAACAGAGTAAGTGAATGTACTTAATAAGAAGTACAGTTATTACTAAATCGTCCTTGTGCTTCCATTTCAGACAGGTTCCTGCTTAACATTTCCAGTGCTTTGTCAGAACTATCCACCCAAAGTTGGGTAGTAGCCCCCATGACAAGACAACATATTTCTCTTAAAGAATGCACTGCACT